CTCTCTCTCTCTCTCTCTCTCTCTCTCTATGAACTTAGATGGATGTTGCTATTAATAAACAGAAAGAACCACTAGGAGAGTGGGAATTTAGGAGTAAAAGCAAAGAGAAGTGTTGTGGGCTTGAAGGATTTTGCAGAGGTTACATGTACGCAATGAAGGTAACTGAGGTGCTGGAGTCCTGGCCAGAACAGGCTGACCGTGAAAGAAAATGGGTTGGTACTTGTAACCTGCTCCTGTACTTTCTGATATCAACCTCTCTTTCTCTCTCTCTCTCTTCCCCCCCTGGGTTTGTACTGGTAAACTCTGAAGTCAGTTGCTCTCCCTCTCACCACTGGGTTGAGACTAGAAGCGCTGATGTCTCTCTCTATCTCTGTCTCTATCTCTATCTCTATATCTCTTTCTCTCTCTCTCTCTCTCTCCGGTTGCTTTAATGCCAGGTGCTGTGTGTGTGCGAGGCACATGCACATGCCCATTTTGGGTAATTTGCGGCTGATAGCTGTGCTTTTGATTTTTGGTAGCTAACCATTAGGAACGCATACCCACTGTGCCGCTATCCTTGGATGTGTGAAGCTCTCAAAAAGTTTGAAATTGTTATGTCAAGAGATGATGAGCTTCAGTTGGAATGGGGGGCATCATCACCATCGCTGTCAACATTATCATCATCGGTTGTGGCATCGCAACCGGTTTCAGAGACACCAGAGCTCCCCATCATACCGCCAAGCTGCTTTTCAAGGCCCCCTGAAGCCAAGGCCTCAACAAATCCTGTAAATGCATTATGCTAGGACTCTCTCTCTCTCTCTCTCTCTCGATGCATAAGCACGTGTTCTTTAGGATTTGAACCAGGTCTGTTGATTATGAATGCTAACTTCTGTATTGGTTTTCCTTTGTCAAATCATCCGTCGATCCCTTGTTTTGCACAAAGCTCAACATTGTAAATGGTGCTCCAGCGCATGAACTTTAAAGAAAGTGGAGAAACAGTTTACTCTCGCTTTTTTCTTGAGTAAGATTTTTTGGATTTGGGGCATGATGAAAAATTTGTATTTGAATAGTTCTTGTTGCAGCGTTGTTATGTCTTAGTCTCCAAAGAAAAAGGATGAAAAATAACATGTGACAATAACATGTGATTGAAAGAAAAATAAGTTCACTGTGGCTCTAGGAAAACTGACTGTAACATGCAGGAGGGTGCGAATCGTGCTGGTTGCTTTACTCGGATATGGAGATAGAGGGGCTCTCTGGTTCTGTTTGGGTTGATTCTGACACAGTAGGGGTTCCAGGTCTATCGAACCTGGCTGGCTTGGTTTGAGGCAATTTGAACTTCATTTTTGTTGGCTCAACAATGTTATACCCTTCCCTCACATATGAAACCAACCCACGTTATGGCTGCTTCTGTACACAGCACAAGATCAACCCACATGGTTACACACTGGACCAGCCTAACCCACATGGTTACACACTGGACCAGCCTATCATACATGATTATGTTCTGTCTACTGTTACATCTGATATGGAGTATGGAATGTTGGATACTCATCACAGGTAGCACGTAAATTCAACATATTGTGCTCTTGTCAAAGTACATCGACACAAGTCAACACAACACAATAAAAATTTAACGTGTCGAGGTAACATTGGTAGAGAGTAGAGAGATGTTTGCGCACATCAATTTTTTTGTTAGTTATTTCCACACATCCAGCTGACACAAGATTGGCACAGATTGTTGAGAATTCTCTGCTTTGCAATATCAACGACAAAGCACAAACTTTCGTTAAACATATAGAGGCTACATTTTCTCACTGGTTTCCCAAGAGACAACCACAACATGGATTATAGACTCTTGCGGCGTATGATGAGCAATAACATGTAAAAGCAAGTAAATAGATTAAGAAAACATTGGACACACTTCAAATTTCAAAATAATGGCATCAGCAGACGCCCTATCAAAAAAAAAAGATTTCAACAATTTAAAAAGAACTAAGCCTAATTAAGTAGATTAGCAGAACATTGGATTACAATAAGAAAAGATGACTGGCAAGTGCTATTGCAACACCAATGATTCAACGCGTGTGAAACATGAATGTATGATTGTTCCAAAATCATACCGGTCAGAGGGTATACTTCCTGCTTGTCATATGATAAATCGACTGCCGATTAAAATTTGGGATAACAAAAGCCCTTATGAAGTGTTGCATTGTTGTCCTCCTATTGTTCATCATTTAAAAATATTTGGTTGTGAATGTTTTGTGCACTTATCATAGAGACAAACTTGCTAAGCGATCCATTAAATGTAAGTTTATGGGATATTCACCTTTCAAAATGGGTTACAAATGCTATGACCCAAAAAAGAGGCGAATTTATGTTTCACAAAATGTTGAATTCAATAAACGTCCTCCCTATTTTCAAACTGATAAGCCTTAGGGGAAGAATAATAAAATAACCTCTACCCAAGATCTCTAAAAAATGAGTGATCTGAATTTCGAAGTCGAAATCATTTTAATACATCAACCTATACCGGAAGAATCCATTCTTGAAACCTCAGAAAACACCAATGAGCAGGAACAATCAAATGAACATCAAGAGGAAATTCTTCCTCAAGACTTCCAACCAAGACGATCTGGTCGTATTACTCGACCTCCCTATGGTTTAAAGGATTACTATACTTATCATGCCAAGGAAAACAATCACAAAATATATAATTCGATTGAAAAACAGATGGATTTTAAAAAATTATTTCCTAAATATAGTGTTTTTTTGACCAAAAATTTTCAACTAAAGAACCTACTAGCTTTGAGGAAGCAAATTCCCATGCAGTATGGAGAACTGCTATGAAAGAGGAACTTGTTGCTTTAAAGAAAAATCATACTTGGGATGTTGTTACTCTTCCTAAAGAGAAAAAACTTGATGGCTGCAAGTGGGTCTCTAAAACAAAATACAAAAGTGATGGAACTATCGAGAGATACAAAGCGATACTTGTTGCAAAGGGATTCACCGAAACCTATGGTATTGACTACAAGGAAACATTTGCTCCTGTGTTCAAAATGAATACTGTGAGGGTTTTACTTTCTATTGTTGCCAACAATGACTGGCCTTTTGTTACGACCCCTACCGTTCTGGTCGGAGGGTGGCAGGGTGCGGTTCATGATTTAGACATAGCGAATGCTACTCAAGTCGAAGTGGCTCGTTGTTTTAATAAAGCAGTAAATCAAGCAAACCACGAAAGTAAAAAAACTCTATAAAAAAATGCACAAAATCTGGGTAAAATAAAATTGAAACTTATATTATTAAGTAAACAACTTGGAGTAATACAATTATTCAAGGTACCGATGACTTGGGTATACAACATCTAACTTCAATACAGACAAAAACATGCCCCACGGTCACTAGACACATACAAGCAAAAGATATCCTCGGCAAATACAAGCTTTCATCGACCAGATCGACCACCCCACCGACTGTTCTTGCCCTGCAGCTTCTACTATATAGGGGTGGAAGAAAAAAGAAAGAAGGGATGAGCTATAAGCTGAGTAAGATGATCGAGTTACTATGCATCAATGATATATCCATCCAAAAAATTTATAAGCAATCTCAAAGAAAAAATGGCCGTCAATTCAGCAGTCTTATCAATATATCTAACACAAGTGACATATCCAATATTATAACTATCATTCAATCAGCATGACTACTAAGATTCGCATACATACTTCAAGTATTAGTCACACACTCCTTAATTCACCTACTCCTGAAGTAGAAGTCCTATTTATTAGGCCAAGCCAATCCTATTGTTTAGGACTTCTACTGTCACTCAGGAGGGAGGGCAATGACAATGAGTGATCCATTCAGTAATGCCCTCACACTCACGCACCTAGTCTCCAGAGCGCTTTGGGGCTTTTGATAGGCATTTGCCTTGCAAGACACGATACACTATTTTCTTTGTAGAATGCACTGAAATTTCGGGGGCGCGACCAACCCATTATACTTTCAACCTAACTCCCCTCCTATCATAGGAAGTTAGGAAACACTGCCGGCCTCACTTTCTTATTAGATCGCATCATACTACCACGAGTAACCCGTGCGTAGCGTCTCTTAAATCACTTTATAATTATCAAACACAAAAGGGTCATGCTTGAAGCATATCATCAAATTACACATCGCTTGACATTCATCACTTAGCATTTAGGCCTATTACATGATTAACGCATGGAATTCACCATTTGGCACTCATTATATAGGATTCACACTTATCACATGAATATTGCATGGTACTTGTCATATAGCATTCACACTCATCCCTTGAACATCACATGACACTCACTAATTAGCATTCACACTCATCACTTGAACATCACATGACACTCACTAATTATCATTCACATTCATTACTTGAATATCACATGGCACTCACTAATTAGCATTTACACTTAGCAGGCAAAGTTTCTGGGAGATCCTGTCAACAGTGACATACTCCCCTAAAAAGAAACATAACTTTCAATCTAGGGGGTTTTGCAAGAAAATATTTCATGGAACTTTAATTATTCACAGAAATCTTTCAAATAGTGGTGGTTTGGAAACAATTGAACTTCATGTGATTAATCAAAACTCATGACAATTCAAGGTGATAATTCTGAATTTTCACAGTTTCTGGTAACAGTGATATGTTAGCATATTTTGGAGTATAGCGTCTCATTTGTGAAGAATTTCAACAAGGTTTGAACATGGACATTGTAGTAGATGTATATACGGTTCAAAAGGCAGTGATTTGGAGGTATTTGGACACTTATTGGGTGGTCAAAAGTTCGATACAAAGTAGGTGACAATGGCTGGAATTTATGCTATTTGGCATCAGTGACATATTCACACATTTTGGACTGTAAATCTTAAAATATGAAGAATTTTAAGATAGTACAAGAAGAAAAGTTGTAGTAAACAAGCATATCTTTCATTCATGACCAATTTGAGTCCATTAAGACACCGTTTGGTTACTAAATAATTTGATACGAAAACACTCACTGTTCCTAGAAATTTCAATTTTTACTACCTACTAAAGCATAAACAATGTCTTTCAAACCAAAGTCTAATACTCAGTAAAACCTTCTTCAACTTAACTAAATTCACAAGAGGATTTGACAAATATTTTCACAATCACAGGTTAACCAAGCACGGATTCTAGCACTTAATTTTCAAGATTTCAAGCTTACACTTGCACATCCACACAGAGGTTTCTACATTCTACTCTTCCATACGTCATGCTTGGATAAAAATAGTAATACATAGCTTCTAAATCCACTTACTTGATGAGAAAATAGTTCTCCTAACTCCTTCTTGCACAGTCTCCTCAAGCTTCCCTTGGTGAGTAGTAATGGGGGTAACAATGGGTAAGGCTCAAGAGTTGGTTCTTAGAGAGAGAGAGAGTATGGGAGTGAAATGGTGTGAGGAGGAGGAGGGCTTAAGTACTCCCCCCAGTGGGAGGTGGCAGCCCAGAGCTGATAGGTGGCAAACAAATCCCACGCAGCTGGATAAGTGGCGGACACTGACCATGCACGGCAATGCCACACATGGCACTGCTCTTCTCTCTCTCTTCACAGCTGGCGCTGCCTCTCTCTCTTCACAGCTAGCGCTGTCTCTCTCTTTCTTTAAAGCCGGCGTTGCCTTTCTCTCTTTACAGCCATCGCTACATCTCTCTTCACAGTCAGCGCTGCCTCTCTCTCTTTACAGCCGGTGCTGCCTCTCTTTCTTCAAAGCCGGCGCTGGCCCATCTCACGCGCGGTGTTAGTCGCTTTTCATGCGCGGCGTTAGTCTCTTTTCAAGTGCGGTGTTAGTCTCTTCCTCCCTTCTCCAAACGGCGTTGCCTCACTCGCCCTGCCGTGTATATCTTTTCCTTTCCTCTAACCCGAAAAAGTCTTGGGTCGTTACACTTTTATATTAACCAGATGTTAAAAATGCTTTCTTGCATGGAGATTTCGAAGAAGAATTTTACATGAAACTTCCTCCTCGTTATCCTCAAGACGGCAACAAAACTTTAGCTTGCAGGCTCAAGAAAGCAATCTGTGGG